TATTGAATTTGAAATGAATGTAGAGAATGAGGATGATTATGATGGTAGTGGACACAACAATGGCAGTGGAAATGATGAGTTTGATGATGATAGTGAGAGTGAAGATAGTGATTTTTTTATTGATGAGGACAATCTCATACACGATGTTGATGTGGATATGAAAGATTTCCATATGAACATTGACAAGGATGTAGAATGGGTTGGAGGTTCTTCTGAAAGTAATGTACCTGAAGATACACAACAAGGTGACTTAGAAGTGATCAACACAGAGGTTTTGTTGTCTGGGTCTTCATCAGATGAGGCAAATGATGGTAAGCGAAGGAAAACTATTAGGGCCATACATAGGGCTTATGAAAATGATGCAGCTTTGGTTAGTGAGCCCTTCTACATTTTTCAAACTTTCAGTTCATCTAAGGACTTTAAGACACAAGTGAAACTACATTCCATAAGGACAAGAAGGGAAATACAATTAGAGAAAAATGATAAGAATAGGGTTAGGTTTGTGTGTAAGGGCACTATACCAAATCTTGCTACTAATGAAGAAGAGAAATGCCCATGGGTTATATATTGTAGTAAGTGGAAGCGTGACATAGATTGGATGGTTAAGACATACACGAAGGAGCATCGATGTCTACAAACAAGGAAAGTCAAAGCATGTGACTATAAGTTCCTTTCAGAGCATATAGTACAAGTTATTGAGACAAACCCAAAGATTCCTATTAGGGCTTTACGAGAGCAACTCCAACGTGAGTACCAGATGGACATTTCGCATATGAAAACTTTTAGGGCAAAGCAGCAAGCTTTAAAGCATGTTCAAGGAGATTATGCCAGCCAATACAGGTTGTTAAGGGATTATGTTTTAGAGGTACAAGCACGTAACCCAGATACTACGGTTAAAATTGATGTTGAAAGTGAAGCGAATCCAACTGTTGAGACAAGAACATTCAGGCGTATCTATGTTTGCATTGGAGCTTTGAAGCGAGGTTTTGCAGCGGGAAGAAGGGACTTTCTTGGACTTGATGGAGCCTTCGTGAAAGGTCCATATCCAGGCCAAGTTTTGTCTGCTGTGGTAAGATCTTCTTATTTCTTTTTGTATTGTATGTTCTTTATTTTAATTAGTGTTAACTGACCAATGTTTTCTGGTAATTTATGTTTCTTATCAAAGGCATTGGATGGTAATAATGGGATATATCCTTTAGCCTATGCTGTGGTTGAATCAGAAACATTGAATTCTTGGACTTGGTTTTTAAGTAATTTGGGTGATGACTTAGGTTTGGGAACAAATTCCAATTTCACGTTTATGAGTGACAGGCAAAAGGTATTGGAACCTATCCAAACTAGGTTTTATAGTTTTATACTATTGATGCAGTTATACTAACATACAAACATGTTACTATTGCTAGGGTTTGTTGCCTGCGATTGCAACACTATTTCCATGTGCAGAGCATCGCTATTGTCTTCGTCACATACACGACAACATGAAAAAGAACTGGAGGGGAAAGGTGTTCAAGGATCTTCTTTGGGAATGTGCCACGACCTCTAATGTACAACACTTTCATCAAGCAATGGAAAAACTAAAGAAGCTTAACAATGATGCTTATGAGTGGCTGAAACAAATACCTCCTCAAAGTTGGGCTCGCTCCCACTTTACTGGTATAATGACTTTCGATCTCTACTTAATAATTTTAAAAGAAGGTAAATTGAATACTGACATAGAATTTGTTTATGTTCAGGGAGAGCACATTGTGATGCTCTAACTAATAACCTGTGTGAAGCATTCAACAGCAAGATAGAAGATGGTCGTGATGCACCAATTATTAACTGCATTGAGTTCATCAGAGAGTACATTATGAAGAAGATAGTCAAAGTTGACAAGGAAATTCAGAAAGTTGTAGGTCCTTTGACTCCTACAGCTACAACAATATTGGATAACATAAAGAGTAAGGCAGAACAGTATGTTGCAACATTTTGTGGTGCTGGAAAATATCAAGTTGCTGGACCATGGCAAGATCAGTGTATTGTGGATGTAGGTCAACAAAGTTGTACGTGCAAAAGGTGGGAATTAACAGGAATTCCGTGCAAACATGGTGTGGCTGCTATTTGGGACATGGGGAGGAATGACAAAGATGTGGGAATCCCAGAATCATTTGTGCATCCATGTTACTGGTTATCAAGCTGGAAAGAGATGTATTCTTTTAAGGTTAGTCCAATCAATGGAAGGTCCATGTGGGAGAAGTCAGCTATACCAACAACTCTGTTGCCTCCAAAACATCGTGTTCCCATAGGAAGACCAAAGAAGAAGAGAACAATATCAATTGTGGAAAAGGAGGACTTTGTTAGAGGAAACACAGCATCAAGGGCCCATAGATCAGTAACATGTACGAAGTGTAACAATGTTGGTCACAATGCAAGAACCTGCAAAGGGCAAAGACCAATTGTTGGTGGGGGTGGTGGACAATCACAAGTAAAAGGAAAAGGGAAAGGGAAGGCAACCACTTGATGGTTTGTAATAGGGCTAGTCTTTTGTTACTTTAAATATGAATGGATTGTGTTATGTTGCTGCTTGTAATAGGGCTAATATTTTGGTACATTATTTACTCTAGTTTGTAATAGGGGCAGTATTTTGATACTTGTTTTAGCCAATATGTTGGCACTTTTGGATGAACTAGTTTGTCACCCTCATTGCCCAGTAATAGTTTGGTACTAATTAATGGAATGTTTTCTTCTTATGATACACCATTGGGTAGATAATAATTTGGTTTATATTGATTTTTACATTTATATTTTCCATAATAGTTTGGTACAAAATTAGATTGTTATATTCTTCTTATGATGTCACCCTTATTGCCCTGTTATAGTTTGGTACTAATTAATGGTCAATATGTTGCTTATACATCACTTTAAAACATAATCAATACAACACTGCTACAACCATTACAGTACATTTGCATTACAATACATAGACAACCTAACCAATACATAACACCATTTTCATTGATCTTTAAAATCTTAACCATCTGCATTACAATACATAGACAACTTAACCATTACAGAAAAGGATACCTTCACATTCACTGCTACAACCTAACCATTATAGATAATGATACCATCACATACATTGCTACAACCTAACCATTACAGAAGACTTTACCATTACAATAACAACTCATCCCCACCTTACAACTTGTAAACAAGTATCACCAAGAACAATACCCAACTAATAAATAAACATATTTTCAAGAAAAGATTTTCATTTTTCAGCTTCTTGTTCAACCTCACAAGCCAGGAGATTGTCAATCTGTCACCATGATCCTTTTCATCATCATCTACCCAAGCAATAAATCCTTTACGTGGTTCCTGTCAATTTCAAAAGCCACGGTTACAATACCTATAATCGCATACAGTGATATCCCCATCTAGGGTTACGATTACAAAATTCTCAACTACAACATACCTTAATTGGACATGCGTAAAAGGGTCTTCCTGGATTATTGTTAGTAGTTGAAGTTCGAATTACAGCAGCGCGCCCACAATCGCATTGAACCATCCTTGATTTGAAGGAGATTAGGTGTAACCGCTTCAAACAATGGAGGATTGAAAGAAACTACTCTAAATTAGGTTCGATCCTGATGAAAAATTAGTATTTGAAGATCGTTGGAAATGTGAAAAGACTTTTATACCCCCAACGTGCAAGGGACGTGGGGTGTCTAACGGAAACAATTGACGGAATGTGAGAATAGGGACTAGGCGGGTTACATAATTAAAAGTTGAGGATAGTCCGAGTTAAAAAAATAAGTTAGGGACCAAGCTTGTAATTTACACTAAACCACAGGGACCATTCGCGTAATTTACTCTAAAATATTTGTACAAAATAGAAAGACACGTAGGTAGGGTAGTAGGTAGGGTAGGTACGCGTGTATCCATTCCGTTTATAAACCAAGCTCGTTGTCACTTATTCATCTATCAAGCAAAATAATGATATCATATCAAATGTTGTCTCTTCCATTAGAACCAAACCGAACAAAACATATAAAAATGGTATCGTATCCCCGAACCCATTAAAACCAAACCCAACAAAACATATAAAAATGTATCGTATCTTTACGACCCATTAAACATGAAAATATACTAATACTGAAAGAATAATATAGTTTAACAAATTTTAACTTAATCAGCAAAATAAAACCCAGAAACCTAACTATACTCTATCAAACCTTCTATATATCTTCTATTTGTATTTAGCTCAAAAAAGCCTTTTACAGGGATTCATGTATGGGAAGATTTGATTGATTTAATTTTGTATAATATTAAAGTATTATTTTGTTTAAATATTTATTTTATTTATCATTTGTATATTGTTTGGTATTTTTGTTTAAACCTTTATGTTATTTTTTGTTTAATTTTTAGAAAACTGTTTATGTAATCAAATAAGTATAAAACATCAAAGTGTAAATTGGATTTATAATCTATTATAAATCCATTCCAAGAATCCTAACTATACTCTATCAAACCTTATATATATCTTCTATTTGTATTTAGCTCAAAGCCTTTTACAGGGATTCATGTATGGGAAGATTTGACTTGATTTAATTTTGTATAATATTAAAGTATTATTTTGTTTAAATATTTATTTTATTTATCATTTGTATATTGTTTGGTACTATTTTTGTTTAAACCTTTATGTTATTTTTTGTTTAATTTTTAGAAAACTATTTAAGTAATCAAATAAGTATAAAACATCAAAGAGTAAATTGGATTTATAATCTATTATTAGAATATTTATTGAAATTAGTAACCTGTTTGTCACGTTTTGCAGCGGTGCCAAACCACTTTTTAAATAAAATTTTAACGATAAAGTTAGATATCGTTGTATTTGTTGTTAGATAAATATAAACTACTCTTTCACCGATTTAAATAATTGATATAAATTAGGCAACCATATTTTAGTTTACATGTCAAAAAGTGTAGTGTATATATGTAAAAAACGACTTTGTTACTTAAATCGAAGAGAAAAAAATGTTGTTAATAGAAAAAGTGATCGTTACCCTTCATCTTTACCGAGAAGCAATTAAACAAAAATGACACAATCTAAGAAAACTTCAATTGAAAACTGTGAGAAAGAATGATAGGGAAGAGAATGGAGACATTTTTTTAAAGAAATGGTGGGTTTTTACTGGTAGTTGGTCATTTATTCCTTGGTCGGAGTTTAAAGTGAGTGCATGTTTGTATGTGTGTTTTTGTATGAGAGAGAAGGTGATATATATATATTTTTTAAATTAAAATAATAAGAAATTAAATAAAAGAAATAAAAAATGAGTAATAAATGGCATATTTGTCATTTCATATAGGGTATGAACAAAAACCATACAAAAATAACAACCAGACCAAAACCACACATAGTATTCAATGTTGGACTATCGATGCATCATCAAATTTTTTTGGATCAAAACTGCATAATTTTGTCAAACACATGGACCATTTTTACAATTTTTGTTTGAAGAATAATTATAGATATGTTCAGGGGAAATGACACTGTAATCCATTAAAGTTTTACGTTTAGGTCTAAATGGTTTCTAAACTTTTTTTGGGTTTTATGAAAGCACGAAGTAGATGTTCATCTGTTTTTTTTTTTTTTTTTATCATTGTTATCTAATATAACAAGTTTCATAAGCCACATAAGCACTTTTAGTTGATGTTTCTTCCTTTATATCCGATCAAAATTCAAATGAGTAATTTTGACCAAGTGTTTGAATGATTGACCAAATACAAGTTATCCTATCGTCAATATCAATTAATGGGATCAAAACAACACGCATTCAGACGGTGAAGTTTGTTTGTTATCCATACTCATTATTTGATGATGGTTGATGAATTCTTTATCAGAATTTGTGGGTTTCAAAATAAATCAGAACGATGAAATTTTATTTAATCTCAATGATGTGAAGTAATTGTAATTTTCTTATGCTCCAAATGACACCCAATATCACTTGACGATTCATAAAAGATGTCAAGGAAGATTGAATCATTCTCTTGAATGGTTAAAAGAAAAAGTCAAAATTGACATTCCAAGTTAATGAATTCGTATTCTTCTTACTTGCGTGATCAATTCAAGTGTCGGTCAAAATTGTTGACTAACATTAGTTCAAAGATGATAAAACATGTGAGATTCAGATGCGTAATAATGTGAGATTCAAATGCGATAAAACACATTTGTTATTTGGAAATTCTTTTGGCCCGTGAATTGGGATGATTAGGAACAACTGGCCGAAGCCCCATAAATTAAGATTATCGTCGGCCAATCTTTGTCGATTTTAGGAATCTGACTCATCGGAAACATGTATTTGGTCAAGAAAATGTCGTCGACGATCTGGAGATTATCGGATATGGATAGTCGGAGTCGAGATGTTTGAAGCAGGATGAGAGAGAGAGAGAGATAAGGATGATCAACCAAATTACCTTCTCCTTAAAATGTCATTTGATTCAATTTAATAAACTACCCCCATTTTATTTTTTTCCAATTATTTATAACAATGTCACAAATCATCTTGACCATCTATTATTTTCATCCGGCGGTTGTTGTTTGGTTGTCAGAAATATATGAGTTCTCAAACCATCCCCATATATATATATATATATATATATATATATATATATATATATATATATATATATATATATATATATATATATATATATAAAAAGAGAAACTTGATGACATAATCTTCAACAATCAGGATCATTCATTGTATTTTCTTGATTAATTTCAACCATTGGATCATTTTGATGATATCATATAAAATAAAATAAAATTAATATTAACTAAATTAAGTTGACTAAGTTTGGAAAGTTGAAAACTTATTAATAGTGACTGGAATTTTTAATTGGAATCTATACAAGTGAAATAAATATCAGTATAATTATCAAAACATAAATATGGTTCATTCCTTTTTAAAATCAAGTAATTTGTACATAACTTTCATAATTATAGAATTTGAAATCAAAGAATTCAAAATAGTGTGATATGAATCACAATATTTATTTCTTCATATCCTTTCCAAGATCGTTGTTCAAAATTATGTTAAGTATATATTCTCATTCAGTCGTTATCACAATTTCGTGAAATTTGGACTTTACAACATCACGTTCGAATATCAGCTTCATAAGGTTAGTAATTTTTTTTATTTACTTATTAATTTCTTACTTCTGATTATAGTTTATGTGTTCAGTATATATATCAATGGCATATTAATGGGTTTTTGATAAATGGATTTTCTATTCTCTCTCTCTCTCTCTATCTCTCTCTCTCTCTCTATCTCTCTCTCTCCCTCTATGTGTGTGTTTGGACTGGATTAAGTAAAATTTAGTTTAATTGGTTATGTGTTAATTGGATTGGATTATGTGTTTGGATTGGATGAAAAAATAAATAAAGAAAAGTAAAGATATAGTAGTTTCCAGAAGGGTTTAGTGTCTATATATTAAAAGAGAAACTTGATGACGTCA